TCTTTTCTTTTTGGAAAACACATTAACACGTAAAAGCAAACATGTAAATAGTAAACAAACATTAATGATTAATTTAAAAAATAAAATGTATTTGTGTGATGTATTATGTGCACCTTTGCAGCTATGACATGGAAGTCAGCTTTTTAAAAAGTTTTTCTGAGTCTAAACTACTCGTACAAAGACAAAATGTTATGTGTTTTAAGCCTGTGGTACTTACAACAAAGCTTTAAAGTAAAATATGAGCTCACAATCTTCTTGTCAGTTAGCTACTGCTAACTAGAAATCAATTGCTAACAATGTGTGTTGCTAGCGTTTTCCTTCTTCAATAAGTGTTTATTCAATGAAATGTACAATCCTTAAAACAAATTGTTATTTGGGAATAAAAGAACCAGTGAAGAGAAAATAGAAGAAAGTTTGGACAGCTATTGAGTAGCTATGCATAAGCCAGGCTTGCTGTAGCATTATCAGTTAGCTTACTGGCTAGGCCGTCAATCTTTAGCCAAATTAAACTCCTGTGAGTTCAGACTGTGGAGGAAAAAGGAAAGGTGTGAAAACAGTTATGAGACAACAATCAGTAGTACTTTACAAATGCATTTTTTAGGGTAAAATATATGAACTACAATCCCATTTGTAACTGAGTTAACTATCTTGTTAACTGACAGTGAGCTGTTGCTAACTAGAACTCCTTTCCTAGCTAGCAAGCTCTGCTGACTGGAAGTTAAAAAGTCACTATTGGAAGTTAGTTTCTAGCTTTCTTTCTTCCTTAGTAAGTCTTTATTAAATGAAATGTACAATCCTGAGAATAAGATGCCAGAGAAGAGTGAGACGACCAGCAAAGAGAAAACAGAACGAAGCTATGAGAGCTATTGTGGCTAGCTGTGGTGTTAGCTTCATGGCTACAAAGATGCCTGAATAAAATTAAGGCTTTAAAAAAATTAAGAGATGCAATTTGGAATATAACTGGCATTATAAAAAAACACATAAAATACTCAGTGAAAAGAGAAAAAAAATGAAAAAAGCTGAAGAGAAAGAACACCATGAAATGAGGTAGAAAAGCAAAATAAAGAAAACAAGAAAAAACAGGACAAAAGAAGAGCTTAGGAAAGAAAAAAAAGTTCTTCCTGCTGCCAATATCAATAATAACTTCCATGTAGTATTTACTGGAATAAAAAACTGTTTGGAACTGTGACTGTGGAAACACAAGTAGTAACAAATCCACTAATGTAAACTGTAACACACGATAAAGGCCATTTGTCAGCATGTACATAGGGATGATAAATATGGCCGCTTTATTATTCCAGGGCCGCATGTCTGCGCTGTTTGAACAGCCATCATCGGACTCAGAAATAAAATAAGTGCACCACAATGTAAGCACTGGTTATTCAAATGGGACTCTCACATAACACTGAGAAAAAGCAAACAGCTCGCTGCCAAATGTGGTTCATGTAAAACTAATTATAACACACCCTTTGTTTGCACACACCTGCCGATACAAACACACTGCATGCACAAGTCTGCTGTCTGTCAGTAAATATATGACATGAAATCAATCATTCAGCTTCAATGCATTCACGTCCAAATGTAATTAAATAGTAATATAATAGATGAATATAAATAATACTCAGTGTAAAGTTCAATCAACCTCATAGTTAAATAATACATTAGAACTTGTGCCAAAATGTCTATAGTTTTAGGTTTTTTTCAAAATATTAAGTTTTGTGTTTACTTACACAGCAAGGTAACAAAAAAAAAAAAAAAGACAACAGGCTACACACAGTACAGTGTCTTAGTTATCTGGTTGTTTTGTTCATACGTGTTGTAATGTGATCTTTATTAGTGGATGTTTAAAGCACTATTTTGTGCACATTTCACATAGACTTATAGACAAAAGAGCAAAATTACTTGTGCATTCCTATCGGATCGATAATAAATGTGGTATTTAAATGACGTTTCATGTAATTAGTAATAGTTTCATTAAGACTTCTGATCTGAGAACAGTTTGTAAACCAGTCATGGAAGCACCCAACAGTCCCAAATATTGTTAGAAATAGCAGCATGTCTACTCTGAGACCAGTCACAGTCTCTGACCTCGCTCGGTGAATAGTACAAGAAACCAGTGTTTCTCCATTCAAAGCTGAAATGAGCATTTAGTTTGTATACTGCTAAAATTGTCTAGTAAAGTTACCTGGAATAAACATTTAAAAAGTAAAATCGCATCAAAATACAAATCACAGACTCAAAGCAAAACCCCAACGTCATTCCTTAGAATGGTGCTCCTGATTCAAATTAAAATCATTTCATTTTGTCTTTAAACAGACAAATAAAGCAAAAGGGGATTTATCAAAGGAACGGAGGAAGAAAAATGACTTCAAGAGACCTCCTTTGCATCTGTAAAAGAATGCGCTATTGTCCAAGGCAACCATTTAAAAACCTATAGACTTTGAATAAAATGTCATGCCAGTGAGCCTTTTTTCTTTTTTTTTTTTTTTACGGCAGGTTTCAAGGTGAATGGAAGCCACAACCACTAGTCCTTTCACTGACAAATGACTGCGGCCAAGCCCTTTCCTGGCTCGGTGAATCTGAAGGGGGTGGCGGCTTTGACCACAGAGTTAATTAGATTTGTTTATTTGGGTAAAATTTACATTCAGGAACCTTGTGCACATCCTTTATGAAGAGATGTAAGGAAGGGCAGAATTGTTAAGGAGGGGAAGTCAAGATCAGGGTTTAAATGAGCAGCTTTGCTTATTGATCGGTGAGGTATGGGTTATTCAAACGAAGGGCGGACAGGACTTTGAATGTCTTACAAGGTCATCAAAATGTCATCGCTCATGGACAGACAGCTAGCATGTACCTAGGGAAACTCTGTTGACTGAGTTTTGAATAATAGTGAGTCTATTTCTGTTGACTAAATCTAAAAAGGGTTTTAAAACGATTGTGTACTTTGTGTGCACCTTATTTTTTTTAAAAGAATAATTAAAGATGACCTATTTTCTCCAGCACATTTCTGCTTTTAACTAAAGCTGAAGCTTGCCAGTCCCACACTGTCTTCTCCAGCCATGTTTGGGTGTGTACAAAAAAAGCCAGCAGCTTGTTGAGATAATTTATTACCTCCAGTGATTTTGGAAAAGCTCCAGTTTGTAAAAAAAAAAAAAAAAAAGAGGTCTAAGTAGGATCCCAGAGAAACATTTTGAATATGATGGTAACATATTTCATTCCTAAAACAGGCTGCAGCTCTTATCGTTATTTTAATTTATTTGGATAAGCTACACTTGATGTAAATGCAGACAAATTATGGACTGTACTACACAGAGAAAACAGCATAGAAAAACTAATATATCCACTGAGTTTAAACAAGCAAATGGACAGTGGAAACAGCTCTATCGCTTCATAATGAAAACAAAACACAGTTTCTGATATCAGAAGGATGCAAATGGAGCATTGCTGAACCTGTGCAGCATTTGCATGGCTCGCCTTCGACACTCCACAGTGCTATCATCAGACTCAATGATTTAAATGTGGGATTCAGCACTCAGTCCCTGTAGACTTGACATGTTTGTTTAGAAGTAAGATGCATGTAGATACTCACAGGTGCTGCTGTGTGACGGCACAGAGCTGCAGAAGCTGGTTCACTGCGGCAACCGCTGGTCACTGCTTCCATCTTGTGTTCACTTTACAGACTGCACAGAGGAGCACATACATGTTGGAGAACATTTTAGCCTCTGGGTACAAAAACTGTCACTAAAACCAGTCAGATGATGTTTACTGTAGCTTCACTGCTTCAGCTGGAAACTTTACACATGCACTTTTTTTTTTACATAATTCTCTAAAATACAATACGACCAACAAAAAACACAACATAAAGGTTTATATATCAGGATTCATTTGCAGTTTCTGCTTGATTACACACAAAAATATAAAAACAGTCTGCAAATACTCTTTTGATTTGATCAGTTCATATGAACTACATTTTACATTTGTTATTTTTTTTTACATTTTGTAATGTATACATTTTTCATATTGGCTTTTGGTCTATTTTAGTATGTGATAAATGATAATAAGTGAAGTGCTGGAAGACAATTTTAACTTGAAAACTTAAAATCAATATTATCAAATGAAACCAGAGGAAAAACAAAAACAGTTCAAAATTACAACAACAACAAAAAAATAATCTTAATGTAAAGGTAAACGTTAAGAAAAGACTTTCAAGACGATGCTGACAGTTACAACTGGGGAAGGATATAACTCAGCTCACATTTTATATAGCTTCAGTGAAGTCAATCTGTTGATGCAAAACACTGCTCAGTGCAGTACTGAGTTTTATTTATCACCTCTGAGCAGCAGATTTGGTCTGACTGTGTATTTAGGACATTGTGTTAGTGGACTTAAGGAGAAAACTTTCTCGACTGACCAGCACTTGCATCTTTTCTCTTCTCTGCACCCAAATTAGGAATGAAAAGTCTGATTAAAAATGAAAATGAGCATCAGCAGCCTGCATGCTGCACAATCTCACTCCAGCTGGGAGCTAAAAGTTGGCAATCCTGGTGAGACTCAGTGTTTCCCACAAGTTTTTTATTGCAGGGCATATTTTGCACAAGATTGTAGCTGTAAATCATCATAAATTAGACACGTTCATGGCAGTTTGACAAGCATTGTTTTATAGCAGGCCTACACTCTGTGACACTGATGTGAAACATAAAGAAAGTGGCTCACACTAATACCTTGAAAATCGTGTGATTATCAGGGTAAAATGTAATGCCTCCAGTGTTTTCAAATCTGTACAAAAACTCTGGCTAAAGCTCAAAACATATCTCCAAGTCTGTAGCAAAGTTTTACACGAGCATAACCGTCCCCTTGCAGCCGTGCAGAAAGTTACAGAGCACACACACGCCCAAACAACTCAATAAAATGATTGACGTGGCATCCCACTAATCACAGAGCAAGTGGGCGGGACTTCCGCTGACAGTGACAAATCAGTAATGGCGACACAAGAACGCTCTAAATATGTCAGCAAAACAACACCGAGGGGGAGTGAACTTATGGACAGCAGTCATATTTTGAAGAAACATTATAATAATTCCATCTAATTGTGTGCAGTTTCACTCCGGCCGAAAGGTAAAACGACTGATGGCGCTTCGTCTTTGACGAATACCGACATGTGACTACTCTGCGTTCTGCTAACTGTCCAAACTTTCTGACAGTTCGGCAGTTAGTGTGTGAAGCCAGCGCCGCCCGGACTAGCTAGCAGGCTGTGCTAGCTAACGTCAGCTAGTTAGCCGTTAGCCGAGTTGTCCAACGATCGAGCGCAGCGGACAGCTTAAAACGTCCCGATTATTAGTTCTGTTGACACCGCGTCTTTTTAAGTGTTACGCTAAAGTTACACCGCACCTCTTAAAATGTTGACAAGGTCACGTCAGGAGCTTGACTTTCATCTTAACTTTGATTTTGTCTGCACATCCGTGATGGCCACCAGTTTTGGGGAAGCCATGATCCAATCAGAGTTGATTCTTCTGACTGGTCGTTGCCGAGCTAACGTTCATGCCTGTAACTGTACGGAGACTGTTAGGAAACACACAACGCTAACCCTAGTCTAGTTGTAAAGCTAATCTTGTCTGTATTTGTTGTGTATGTTGTTCTTAGTGTATTTATTTAACGGTATATGTATGTTGTTACGCTGCGAATGCGCTCTGCAGCCACATACTCAACGCAACTCCATATGTCTGTCATGTACGTGTATGTTATGGCTGCTGTTGCCTTTGATGCACATTGAAGCTTGTAAACTTAAAATTTAAGTATTACATGTGATCACAGCATTCTTTGGGGATGACATTTCGGCTTTTTATTGGAAAATGCAATAAAAAAAACGGCAATTTGTTGTCAAAATATGTTTTAATTTCAGTAGTAAAGGGACTCTGTTTACAGGGCAGCTTAACAATAAACAAAACAGAATCCTAATTAAACTTGAGGTTTTACACATGTGGATCTGAATATATATATATTTTTAGTGTGTAAAATATAAACGTAGATTGAAAAAGCATCTGTATGAGGGCTGCACAATGATTTGAAATGTAATATTACATACATTATACATACATCACAATATGCCTAAGTGCAATATCAAATCTCTGGAGGTGTGTGTTTTTTGATAAAAGTGAAAATGTGTCACAAGTAGAGCCACAGCTGTTATTTTTCTTGTCTAATTAATCTTTCAATTGTCTTGACAATCACTCGACCAGTTATTTGGTTGATCAAACGTCAGAAAATAGTGAAAAATGTCAGTCAGTGTTTCACAAAGTGGCGTCTAAAAGTTCACAAGCCAAAGATGTTTAGTTTACTTTCTTAGAGGAGGAAAGATAACAGGAAAATCTAAATTTTTAGAAGCTGGACTCAGAAAATTTAGATTTTCATTCTTAAATGTACTTAAATCAGTTATTCTATTATCAAAATAATTAGTGATCAGTTTAATTTTTGACAGCTGATTGATTAGTTGATCAGTCGTTGCAGCTCTAGTCAGAAGATGCCATTTTAAATGAACCACGTGAAGCTACAGACACGCCCTGACCTAGAAATCATATTAACTAGACATAAGGGTACATGCTTGTTTGTACAGACCACAGTACATCACATGATTATATTTTTTCAGTGGAGAAGACATGGAAAATTACCATTTCCACTAAAAGTAACTCATTGCGATCTCAGTGTGTGTCAAAAATATTGTCAGCATGATTTTTCTCTGTCTTGTTTAGCCCTAATTCATGCAATATCATCACATCCAAGTAAGCAGCCATGTAGTAAAGAGTGCTTGTGATCATTTTCTATTAAAACTGCTGCACATGTGTTGACTTAATCCAGTGGTCATTTAAGAGTGTTTCTTTAGTCATGATAAGCATTATATTGCATTCTACATATAAAAAATACATGTAAAGAACAGTTAACACATTAAATGACGTTTAGATTTTCTGATTATATTGTTTGCGTGGCATTAAAATCATGTCTTCCTTGTTTTTCCTTCTGTAGCTGTCTGGTTTCCTACCAGCTGTTCGGTAGATGTCCACCCCCTCAGACACATCAGGTGGAATGTCCCATCCTGGCCCTTCCCCTGGGGCAGGTCTGTCCCCGGGGCCCATCTTGGGTCCCAGCCCAGGACCAGATCCCTCACCAAGCTCTGTTCACAGTATGATGGGACCCAGTCCTGGACCCGGGACGCCCAACGCACCTCATGGCATGCAGGGACAGGGACAAAGTGATTACTCTCAGGACAGCATGTATCCTATGCACAAGGTACAGTGTGCATGCTACTGTTAGGCGTCTGTTGGTGTCACTGCTGCACAAGGAAAGTGTTGTAGTTTGTATTTTTATATCACATTGTCTTCAGTCTGTCATCAACAGCCTTCATTGTTACTGTATAGTGTTTAATTGGATGCTTTACTAGAGCCTTACAGGTAAATTTGCCTGTCCCATATATCTGCCAGTATTGATGCATGTGCTGCCTGATGCACATGTTGATGAAGTTGTAAGAAATGACAGCCCTGAAATACCACAAATGACTTTGTTTATTTTGAACATAAATACTCTGGCTTCTCAGTTGGGCTGTATTTTTCATTGTCACTTGTCATTTCCGGTTCACAAATGTCTTGATAAATGAAAAGCAATTGCCTGTGGACAAAAGTAGGCAAAAAGTTCATTTTCTACACCATCAAGCTATGTGGAAAAGTGGCAGTACAAGCCTGCAAGTGTCTTCTTCCAAATCTTAAAAGATCTTTATTTACTGTATGTGTTTAACTGGGGCTTTTTGACAGTTTTGGCTCGAGGCCTCTGAGCACTAAAGCTGTCGTATACTGTATATGAGACGCTTGATTGACAAACAGTTTTCATCACAGTTGCATCAGATACTACAGTTGAGGGAGAACATGTGTTGTGTACAGTGCACATGTCTGCATCCTGAGTCTTTTTTTTTCTGTTTTCAGCCCATGGAGGGCATGAATGACAAGTCAATGGCTGAGGCGATGCACTTTGGTCACATGAAAGGTGTGGGGATGAGATCTCTTCACAGTGGCATGGGGCCTCCACAGAGTCCTATGGACCAGCACAGCCAAGGTAGCTCATCCCTTTGTTTTTAAATCTGAAAGCTATGGGTTCACTCACAGAAATAATTAAAAGAAATGGATTCTGCTTGTCTTGTTAGCTTTAATTATTCTTTTTAAAAGTTGTACACGTCTCCAGAAGTAACCAAATCAAATAAATAGTTGTTATTCCTTCGGAGAGTGTTTTATTAAAACACTTTTCAAAGTTTCAAAGACGTGAAATATTTAATTAACAAGAAAAGAAGCAGAGAAGCTTGTATTTTTTGCTCTTCTGTCTTGTTAATATTACCAACCCCTAAGACTGAATAATTTTGGCTCCGACCTTCAGGTTGTGAGCCCCTGCTTTAAAGATCCTGATATAAATTTTAAGTTTGTAAAACCACGAAATCACTTTCTGTCTGCTGTAGGATACATGTCGCCCCACCCGTCCCCCATGGGAGTCCATGAGCATGCATCTAGTCCCATGTCAGGAGGTGGAGGTGGACCTACACCTCCCCACATGCCTCCCACCCAGTCAGGCCCCATGATGCCCATGGATCCCCAAGGAGGTATGACCAGCATGTCCAGCATGGCCCAGCAGGGGCGAGGACCATCTGCTTTCAGTCAGGTCCAGCTGCAGCAGCTCAGAGCTCAGATTCTGGCCTACAAGATCCTGGGTCGTGGGCAGCCGCTGCCTGAAAACCTCCAGCTGGCTGTTCAGGGCAAAAGGAGCCTCCCAACAATGCAACAGCAGCAGCCACAACCACCACCACAGCAGCAGCAGCAGGCTCCTAGTTCCAGCCCTTACAACAGGCCTCCAGGTAGGGAGATGCAGCTTTACATTATTACAATATGTAGGCTACTTTATGAAGACAGGGAATCTGTTAGTTGCCCAGGTTCTTCTTTTTGCAGTGCGTGATCCTTAAACAGGAAAGTGGGAGTTAGGATTATGTTTTTCTGTAAATTTGTGGTCCACGTGCTGCTAATGTCAGACTTGAAGGTGGGTATAAGAATCAAATGATTAGTTTTTGGAAATAATCTATGAAATGTCAGAAGAACGTTAAAAAATACATTGAGTTGACATACTCAGATAACTTGTTCTGCTGCACCAACAGCACAGAACCTACATTTGTCCAGTGATTTGACATCGTTTATGTTAATGTGGAGCATTTTTCTTCAAATAATGAACAAACCTTTCGTCAGAATGTGGCTACCAGCCTGTCACATCCTTACATTATCTATTTAGGCCATGATAAAGGCTCAGAGAGAGTTTTGCTTTACAATTTAAATATGTACTAGATGAATTACTAAAATATAAATTGTAATTGTGTTAAAAGGTATGCCAATGGCACCTATGGGTGGTCCCCAGTCAAGTCCATGCCCAACCCCAGCAATGCAAGGACACAATCAAAGCACAGGACCCAAGCCTTGGTCTGACGGTAAGTACTTTGTCAATCTCCAGACGGGTGACGTATCAAAAGGAAACCATGAATGCTTGACCCCTACAGTGTACTGATTCGGTGGCTTTGTTGTGTTCTGGGGGGGGCATTTCGCTGGTTTGGTTTGGATCCACTTAGAGAGAAGCGTCACTATAAATCAATCCAAAGCTGTTCTGAGTGACTACCTCTATGATGAAACATTTCTGTCCTGGTGGGAGTGAGCTGTTCCAGGATGGCAATGAGGGAATGTCTTCTGTAAAAATGGCGTTCATCCCTCCAGAGACTTGGAGAATCAGTGCTGAGGCACATTGGAGCTGAACACCTTATCAAGACGCTGTTTTTCGGTTTTACTTTTAATTTGTCACTCGTCTGTCCATGATGTGTATCTCTGCATAGTTGACCAGTTGAGCTAACAACCCATTGAGCTACATTCACTTTGACACCTTTTCACTTCACGTATTTACAATCCAGCGTGAGTGAGAATGAAAGGTTTGATGGCGACCCGGCTACACACTTCTGTTTGATGTATAGCTACACCTCAGATTCTCTTTAAAGGACACTACAGCGAATTCTTTGAAGCTAAACGTCGCAGTGTGAAAGGATGCTGCAATCAAAGGTTGCAGCATCTTTCCACACACCCTTTGAAGATGGATAGATTTGAAGAGGGACGCCCACGTATGTTGTCAAATAAGACACAAATCGTTACTGGCAGATGTACAGTACAGTGACTTAACCAGAAAGTCTGGCGTTACATTAAATTAAATTTAGCCCATTTAGGTGAGTTAAAATCAATAACTTGTAGAGGTATTTGTCACTGAAGCAAGTTTTTACAGCTCTTTTTTTTCTCTTCATTCTCTAATTTACAAGGTTTTAAAGCAATTTTTTTCAAGCTTAGGTGATTTTTTTTGTTGTACATCTGTCTGTAGGTCAGTATCTGTCTGTGAGTCTCATTCTCATGAACGCAATGGCTCACAAACACCTGAAAGTAACTCATTCAAACGTTGACTTGGACTTGAAAATGAACTGATTAGACTTCTTTTGGTCAACTGTGACCTCACAAAACGCATTTTTGGCTAAGACTCAATTTCACACCATGATCTGATAGGATGAACTGATTAAGTGGTGGCCTCTTTTATTCAAAAGTTGAGACAGGGCGGACGTGGACGTACACTGCAACTGCTTTACTGGTTGGCTGATGTAATAAATTGTGAAGCGATAATTCTAGTTTAATTATTTGCTATAAACGGTAGACTTTAAGTGTGGCGTTCCAGATGGAGGGATCATAGCTACCATTAAAATTTTAGGACTGATTAACACTTCAAGGAAAGTTTTATTCAATGAAAGCTCCTCCAGTTGTCTGTAATTCTCACAGTAATACTCCAAAGTGATCACCGTCAGAAATCAGTGCTAAACTCAGGCTTTTTGTGGGTCATCAGTCACAAGTGCAGTTATCTTGTACCTTACAAATGGATTAGCTCCTGATAGTGATTCACAATAATTCATATGAATCCCCTTCAGTTTATTTTTCTTCCGTGTTGTAAAAACAGATGGTATGAAAGATAAAACTTTCCAGCGTAGCCAAAATTATACTGATGGGAGCCATTTGTCCCAAAATGTTGGCACTGTCTGTCTGTTGGCTTAAGGCTGATAGGTTCTTAAGCATAGCTATGATTAAAACTCAACATCGTTGAACTTTTTTTTTTTTTTTTACCATATATGAATAATAAAATGGTGCGCTATGCAAATATATTTCAAAAAGAGGAAATCTGAATTAGTACATACATCCAAAAGCCCCATATGCAAAAAGAACAGCCCTTAACTCCCACTGAGGTCAATTTAAAACCAAGTAAATGCAAATATGAAGTAGTCACATATCAGTAGTCCCTGGTCTGACACCAAATTGGTCCCAGCTGAGATACAAGTTTCAGAGCGATTTAGAGGGTCTAGGTTTAGATTAACGAGTCACTGGAGGGAAAGTAGGAAAGTTCTTCTTCCAGCCAAAGCTGACAAGGAAAAGACCCTTAATGCTATGTGTTGGTACCAATCTGTGAAAGTGAAAAGGGACCTGTAATGGGTTTAATGAACTGAGGAAACAACGGCTGATGTGTACCTGCCTACTTAAGTGTGGGTTAGAAGATGTAATTTATCTACAAGTCTAACGATGTCCAGCCCAGTGATACTACTCAGCTATTAACCTAGTTGTAAAGGTTTTTATATCCAGGTAGCACAATGCGATAATTTGCTTTTCATTAGAAATGAAGGAATGAATATTTGAGGTGTTGTGCGTTTTATTATCCACAAAACAGAATATGTATTTCCTCATCCAAAATCAAGACACATTGTTTCGCTACAGTGACAATTTTTAAAAAAAGGCTTTATTATGATGGTTACAAGATACCAGCATGTACGTCACCAGTGCACTTAAAAAATATGACTTTGATGTAATACCTGCATAAATATATTGACACAGATGCTGAAATGACATCACAGCAAACAGCAGGAAAACCAGAAAAAAACATCAGGAAACCTAATGTTACAATAGCTGACAGAGCATGGAACATACAATTTGTTGTTTGGTTTTTATTAATAAAAAAAAACGGAATATATTTTGACAATTTTAGTGCAGGACAGTGAAGGATGTGAAAAGAAGCCCTGTAAACAAAAGTGAGGAACTTCTCATTAGGATCAGCTCTTTACACGTTCACGTCTCTCCACCTTCACATGTCACACTGCTTCTTATTAAAGGTTAGATCTTTTGTGGCAGCAGTACTTTAGGGCACATTTTAATTCAGCACTTTCACTCTTTTTGCAGAAATTCAGTTCATCCTTTATCACTGGTGTTGTTGATGTGCAGACTTGTGAGCATCTGATTTTTAGCAGCTTGCAAGTTATGGTAAAGTAAATTTAACCAGTGTGAAAGCTGCACTTGCATATAGAGATGTTTACTACATTGGTAATTTGATTAAAAAGCCAAATTAAACAGCTGAAATTTCCCGTAAATTGCCTCGTCAAACTCCA